GCTGCACGATTAACCTGCCGCGACGCGAGCCCTCCGCGCAGCCAGCACGTAGATTTAGATAGCGCCCCATGTGACTAATACGCGATCGTCAATAGTCAATTCTACGGTAGGTACGCTGCATGGTTAAATTCACTGATTTGCCTGGCCTACTGGAGTTAAATTACACACTGATCACGAAAAACGCATCGCCTGGTGAAGCCATTTTGTACGATAGAAATAAAAGTCTTCACTTTTTCTTTTCCCATTGGATCAGTGATTGACGTTTCCATTTTAAACAAACCCCCGCTTTATTGTGAAGGCTCAACTGTGCGATGTGATTGTGATTTTTATGTAAGCATACCATTTGACTACCGTCATCCTATGGTAAAACCCTATCGTGAAGAGAATGTGATTTTTGTAGGCAACATTTAGTTACCTCAATAAAAGCGTTGCAGCAAATTCCAAGCTTCTCGTATTCCAGATTTAAGCAGTTGCTTAGGCTTTTCCCGCCCCTCTTAACTTTCTTACAATGTTTCTAATTTGACAAGTCGAGATAGCGGCTAAGCTACGGAAGTTATCTTGAAGAGGGAGATTCCTAAAAGATTTAGATATAATATTTTGTCAAAGCTTCCGACTTCATTTTGGGGAAATAGCGACCGTGGCCTTTTGCAATAGGAGGCATCCTAGGGCTTAAATCGCTGCATTCACTTACACCTTCCACATCTAATTCTTTGATGGATAGATCATTTTTATCCATTGAACGACTACTTCTGGAACCACGTGCTTTCGCAGTGCCTACCATATGACATCGTGGGATACCTTGTCGAAAGCTTTCTCCACATCCAGGAAAGCCGCATGTAGCTCCCTTGGTTTTTTCCTATACTTCTCCATCACTATCCGTACAGTGTGGATGTTGCCAGCAGTTGCTTAGTTGTTAGGAAGAGAATTTCGCTGCACATGGACTGGAGTACGGTGTGGAGGTTGTTTATGATTTTGACCATGTTTCTGAGCTATTTTTTACATCTCAAAATTATTCATCTTTCTATCTGTGTCGTGGCGGTCTACCCCATCGTGGCGCGTGAGTGACTCTAGGTGTCGAACTGCAAAGTACAGCAGAGATTTATCCTCCAGTAGAGTCTCCAAAGCTGAGAAGGAAATCGGCGCTTTCAGCTCTCCGGATGCCCAGCTACGAGTAGGCCACGGCAGAAGCACCACCGTCTGGCTGATTCAGTTTCTAGGTTGTTCTCTGATCCGTGTAGGTTAGCGATTACCTGTGTTAAAAGCTTGGCACGCCCTGGAAGGCTGCTAGGTTTGGGGAAAAATCTATTGCTTACGGCATATAAAGAGGAAAAAAGCCTTGCACGCTGAATTATATCTACGACCAGTAACAGGTAACACAGGGCGCCATGGATTTTTGACCAAACGGAAACGTTGACGACCCGACATGGAGACTGTTTCATGCTCTATGCCTACAATGCCAGAACAGTCTCCACTAACGCCGATCTTCATGCCCTTCTCGAAGATGCGGGGCGCATGAACTACCGTAATCGCCCTGCAGAAAACAAAGTCTAGGAAGAGGACGTGAGACAGCACTGATGGTACACTCATCATCTGTGGTGAGACAGTTCCTTTACGAAACGTAGGGACGTTGGATTTGACGTACACCCATCTGTTGCCATCTTATCGATTCACAGAAGAAGCTATCACCTCGTTTGGCTATCCTTCGACTCCTCTGCACCGGAAAACCATCTTCAACGTCAACTGCTGTTCTCCAAAATTAGCTGATGACTTGGAACTAGATGCTTTTCATGAGGATTTAGAGGAAGTATTCACAAAGAAAATCCTTCCACAAATTCGTCTTGGGTGACTTCAATGCCACCATCTTCGTGAAAAAAGAACGTCGGGTGGACATGGGAGTCACCCAACGGTACGACTTATGCGGAGATCGATCGTGTCAGCCGAAAGCTGAAAAGGAAGATCTGACACCGTGTTGGAAGAAAGAGAGAAGTCGTATGTGACGGCATCGGTTTGGAGGAGCTCCTGACCACTTGTGACTGGCCCAAGAAGGACCCAACGAAAGATACGACCTGCTTCAGAGGTAGGGCCTGTGGTGAAAGTACCTCAACCTCGAACAAGGAATTTAGGAATAGGAACAACATACGAGCGAATTCTGAAAATCATATGAAAATCGGGAACTGCTAGAGAGGAGGAGAGCATTGAGGCTGGATTCGACTGAATTATCTCGAGCGACTGGTAGCCAATACCAGTTGCAGAACAGCTTTGCAGGAAGATTTTCGAAAGTATAGGCATTCGAAACTTTTGGAAGCAGTACAAAAAAGAAGAATTCGTAAGAAGCGCCGCTGGAACTTCCCTACCGTCTGCGGGACCGGCCCACGTTTAGGCAGACCTCTTACTAGCTGGAGGAAATCAGCTACATGAGATACTTGCGGAACATCTAACTTATTACTTTCAAAATAAAGGATGCGACCAGTGGAGAACCTCTCAGCAATCCTTTTTTATAAGAAGGGCGATAGGAAGGATTTTGGGAACTACCGCTCATTAGGCCTGCTAAGTGTGCTTTACAATCACAAAAATTATTCTCACTCACATATCAAGGACACTGGATGAAGCCTAATCTGTAGAACAAGCTGGAATTTGCAAGAGATCAACTGCGTGAATCACATTCAGACAGCTTCGATGAGTATCTTACCAAAAGTACGGCCTTACTCTCGTCTTAACCTTGCCGACTATGAGAAAGCGTTTGACAGCGTCGAGACTAATGCCATACTGTCAGCGCTTGTCGACCAAGCGGTGGGCCCTTACTTGAAGACATTGGCCAATTGCTACAAGAACTGCTCTAAAGCAGCACACCTTTTCCATCCTCCTTAACATACCAATTTCAAAGAAAGGTCCGACAAGGCAACACCGAAGTTGTTTGCCGCCGCCAGTGGGTGATGAAATAACTGGATTGGAACGAGAGACATACGAGTTCATGGGAGATTCCTCTTAAATCTTCTTTTTGCGGACGACATTGTTCTCTTCTCGAGGGATATCACTAAAGCGGAGACGATTTTGAGGAAATTGAACGAAGTCGGAAAGCGGATAGGACTGCGATTTAAACGGAAAAAGTATTTATGAAGAACACCTTTTG